GACCAACTTGAACTATCTAATTGGATTGTATCGGGTTGGGTCGGGCTATGTGAATACTAGTTGGACCAAACACCCCCAAACCGGGCAAGGCAAGTGGTATCGAACCATCCTGCCTATTTTTTTATTCAAGTCGACCCGGATCGGTTTGTATCAGGTCAGGTTGGGCTGTGTGAATACTGGTTGGACCGGATGCCCAAAATCGGACAAAACAAGCGGTATTGAACCATCCCGCCTGGGGTCTATTTCGGACTCGGGTCAAATTGATTTGGATTTATGTTAGGTCAAGTGTGTTGATTCAAGAAAAAAATAAATGTAGTCAATAATTAATAGAAAATTAATACATTAATTATAAATTATTTAATTCAAATAAAGAAAATTAAAAAAAGCTAAAGAATTAAATACTTATGTCTATAATAGTTAGCCCAATGGTTATCCACAACCCAACCCATTTAAATGGGCAGATTGGGTGATAGGTTGATCACACAACCCGCCAAATAAATGGACTGATTGGGTGGATTAGATACTAGGTGGGTTACCCATATTTGCCCTAGCCTGACGTCTAGACCATCATCTCAATATTCTAGTCAATAAGGTAATCTCAAATTTTGACATTTAAATTTTTTGAGTAAATTATAAATATCCTCCTATACTATGAGGGAAGTGACAATTACCCCTAAACTTTCATATGCCATAAATATCCTTTTGAATTTTCATTTTGTGGTATATATCCCATTAGCCATTAAGTCAGATAATAAAATGTGTTAAATTACAAAAATATCTATTTAAATCTTTTCTATTTTTTTGGCTCTTATCTTTGAAACCCTACTAAAATAATAAGAATCATTTCAATGACATAAAAATACAAGTGGTCTTTAAATTATTTTTTCCTTTCAATGACATGAATGTTTCTCTTCATCTTAAAATATAATTAGTATCTACTTCTTTCTCTAAAAAATTTCGGAAGCCCAAGATCCTGCTTTTCCATTGATATCTTATGATATATATACAAATCCGATCRGAGGTCTTGCTCCTCAAAACCAACTCCTAATCCAAAAGGAAAAACTTCTAAAACCAACTCCTAATCCAAAAGGAAGTACAAAACTTCTAAAACTTATAAATCCTAACTGTACAAATCCGGGATCTCCGGATCTCCTAGGACTCTCGCGAGCCTTATCTTCGTCCAATACTCCCCCTCAAGATGGTGCATGAGGATTGCGAATGCCCAACTTGGGAAGCAAAAAATCAAATTGTTTTTGTCCGAAAGCCTATGTGAAATTATCGGCAACTTGTTCACCGGTACGTACATAGGAAGGTGCAATGGTGCCGGCTTGGAGCTCATTGCAAATGAAATGACAATAAACTTCAATATGTTTGGTTTGCTCATGGAAGACATGGTTTACAGCAATGTGCAGAGCAGCTTGATTGTCACAAAACAAGCATATAGGTTGAGAATGATGTATATACCCAAAGACGACAACAGACCTTTTAGCCACTTCAACTCACAACTGGTAGTAGCCATTGACGAGTATTCAGCCTTGGCAGAGGAACGGGAGACAGTATGTTGTTTCTTAGTCTTCCAAGAGATGGGGGAATGTCCTAATATGACAAAATACCCAGTAAGAGAGCGACGAGTTACAGGACAGCTCGCCCAGTCGGAATCACAATAGGCATACAATTGCAGATCACTATCAGAGCGCAAAAATATTCCTTGACCAGGACGCCCTTTCAGATAACGAACCACACGTAATGTTGCATCCCAATGATCAACACGAGGACACTGCATAAATTGAGTAAGGACATGGATGCAATAACTGAGCTCCGGCCGTGTAATGGTTAAATAAATCAAACGACCCACAAGACATCGATATCGTTCAGGATCATCCAGGAGTGCTCCATCAGCAAGGGCAAGTTTATGATTCTGAGTAATAGGAAGGTGAGCAAGTTTGGATCCCAATAAGCCAGTTTCTGTAATAATATCAAGTGCATAATTTCTTTGGCAAAGAAATATCCCCGATGATCCGCGAGTCACTTCGATGCCCAAAAAATATTTAAGAACACCCAAGTCCTTCATGCGAAAACACCGGTTCATATACTGTTTAAATTTGTGTATGAACTCCGGGTTATTCCCACCAACGATTAAGTCATCAACATAAACCAGGACGTGCAAGACAACCCCATTCTTGCGATATGTAAATAAGGAATAATCGAAATAGGACTGTTCAAACCCAAAAGTTTTCAAGGCAGCACCTAACTTAGAGAACCAATTCCAAGGGACTTGCCGTAGACCATACAAAGATTTCCGGAGTTTGCATACCTTTCCAGTCCCGGAGGCCGAAAAACCTAGAGGAGGTTTCATATAGACCTCCTCATGGAGATCACCGTGCATATAAGCATTGTGGACATCCATCTGATGCAATTCCCAATGTTGGGCCGCAACAACTGCTAAGAAGGTTCGAACTATAACCATTTTAGCCATAGGGGCAAAGGTCTCGTTGTAATCAAGATCTTCAACTTGAGTGTTGCCCAGGACTACCAACCGTGCTTTAAATCTTTCAATGGATCCATCAGAGTTGTATTTGATTTTGTAGACCCATTTACACCCGATTGCCTTTTTTCCTGGTGGGAGGTCTTCCAAGGTCCATGTCCCATTGTCTACCAAAACCTGTATCTCTTGGCGCATAGCCTCGCACCACTGAGCATCAGTCATTGCCTCAGAGAAACGAGTAGGTTCTCGACCTGCAGTAACAACTGCCAAGAAATGTCTGTGTTTCACAGAAAAATTATCTTACGTCATATAATGAGTTATGGGATAAGAAGTACATGAGGACTGAGATGATGCAGGAGAAACAGCGGAGGGGTCTAAGCAACAAGCTGAGTGTGTGACAAATTCCTGTAAATAGCTGGGATCCGCTTTTCTCGATGTCCGCTGCCTAATACCTCCGTGGTGGGCTGAGGAGCAGTTGGAGTTTCATTATCTCTATAATCTGTATGGCTCCTTGTCTCATCAAGGGGACCTGTCTCCTCATCATTACCCATGTTCGGATGTCCTTCTTCATCGATCGTGTCGCTCTCCCTGACTTCTATATGAGGTGACTCAGATACCATGTCAGGAGGAGTGGCCCAAGGTAACCCAATATTTTCTTTGGCTACAGAGGGTTGATGTTCTGGAGTGGCAAAGGGAAACTCGGCCTCAATAAACACCACATCTCGTGAGACGAAGTAATCACCAGACTCAAGGTCGTATAATTTCCACCCCCTTTTCCCAAAAGGGTACCCAACAAAGACATATTTCCTACTCCTAGCAGCAAACTTGTCACGGTCCCTAGTATGCGAGAAACATAAGCAACCAAAAACTCTGAGATGTTTATAAGGACTTTGTCCAAATAGCATATTGTTAGGTGTTTTACCACCAAGAAGGGTCGAAGGTGTTCGGTTAATCAAGTATCTTGCGGTCAAAAGAAACTCACCCCAGAAATTGATCGGAAGATGTGCTTGAAACCTGAGTGCTCTGGCTACATTGAAAATGTGATGATGCTTTCTCTCCACACGACCATTTTGCTATGGTGTCCCAACACGGGAAGTTTGAAATAAAATTCTTTGCTCGTCAAAATATGGCTTCAAGGATTTAAACTCTATTTAATTATCACTTCTTACCACCTTAACCTTCTTATTAAATTGTCGTTCAATCATGACACAGAAATTTTTGAGTGTTCTACCAACTTCGCTTTTTTCAGCTAGCAAATAAATCCAAACCGATTGAGAATAATCATCAACAATTGTTAAAAAATATACAGCACCGCAAGATGCAGGTACTCTATAAGCACTCCATAAGTCACAATGAATCAATGCAAAACAATTAGTTACTTTATTGCCGCTTTGAATAAAAGCATCTCTAGTTTGCTTCGCTTTCAAACAAACATCATAGGTTTTGTTCTTACCATTACTGATATTAAGAAGCAAACTAACCGTTTGATAAGAAGGGTGTCCCAATCTCCGATGCCACAAATCACATGATCCAATTCCATCTGTCTTGCAAGCATGAACCGGCGCCACACCCTTGAAGACATAAACCCCATCAAGCTGTTCACTCGCACCAATCAGAGTCCTCGAGATGCAGTCCTGTATCACACAGCTTATTAGTAGACGTCACAATACAATCTGTGTCACGAAGTAATCGGCCTACTGACAATAAATTACAATTGAGTTTTGGGACATATAATACGTGCAGCAATTTAAAATTATTTCAAAGTTCAACAGTGCCTTCTTTCATGGCCTCAGTGTGTGCACCATTGGGTAAGCTAACAGGACAAGCTGCAACATCATAGGTGTCGACGAGCACATTCAAATTCCCTGTCATGTGATGTGATGCCCCAGAGTCAACAATCCATTCAGTGGAGTAATTCTTACCAGAGAGTTTTTCATTAGTCCTGGTTTTGTAAGCATTAAGCATGCTTACAAGAGTCTGCCATTGCTCGTCATTAAGCCCGTTCAGTCCGGCCCTGTCTTCGTCAGTCACAACTGCATTAGCAGCCACCTCACACCTCGTTGATGACTGAGCAGTATGAGCCTTTGCCTTACCTCGGCCACGTCCGTCAGAGGGTCCAACAGACTTATTCGAGCTCTCACCGTTCCTGTCGTTGTTGGGAGCCATGGTGACCGATCAGCAAGATTCGTCCGAGCTGATTAAAACACGTTGAGTTTGATTCTAAGAGGAAGATGGACGATCCTAACGAGGCTTATGAAGAAATCAGAACAAGCGAGCCCGTCGATTCTGAATCAAACCCGAGCTCCTGCCTAGTTTCCTCCGATCCCGTAACGCCGAGCGAGAACCAGGCGAAGCGGAAGGACTGGGAAAAGAAGGGTAAAGTCCCTGCTAATAATCTTGCAGGGGCGTTACGCCGGAAGGAATGCCGACATCATCCGATCCTTCGACGAGGGCACCCGAGATCGTCCCTACAGTCACTACTTGGTCGTTGGGATCGCCAAGTACCTGAAATTTTTCAAGGGAGCTGCCCCTGGCCTCCGCTACCTGCTTCTTCCTCTTCGTCAAGTGGCAGCTGCTCGAATGTTGCAGTGGAAAATGTTGCCGCAATCACCATGACCGGCCCCGCTGTCATAAGTGTGCCAACCACGCTACCACCCACCACTTGCCCTTGACCGCCAGCTAGGTACACCGTCAGCCCAGTCGACCCCAGAGGAGCAGGTCCAGGTAGGAAGGCTTCGGTAAGGGATAGTATCACGAACCGGCCATGCAGTGCAACAACAACTCCAGGTGCAGCAGGCTGTCGCAATGTTACGTTGGTTACTGCCCTGCTTCCGCTAAGTACACGAAGAAGGTCATTCACAAGGACTCTGCGAAGAAGTCGGCGAAGAAGTCCTGAGTGAAAGCCCATCTCAAGGACATCATTACCCTCGACACGCTCCAATCTCGGGACAAGAAGGTTATTGCCGCCAAGGAGGTCAAAGCTCGACTCGAGGACCGGTTCAAGACTGAAAAGAACAGGTGGTTCTTCACTAAGCTCAGGTTCTAAGCGAGAAGTTTAAGTAATGCAACTCTCTGCAAAGCAAGCTTTCTGAAAGCTTTCTTGACCTCCGACTCAGAAGCCCCAGGCTGGATTCTGAGAGTTCTGTACTGCTCCATCAAGCTTGCCGACATAACAGAGGAACAACGACAGACCCTCCTCTTTGTCTTCCCGAAGCAACCGCTCTAATACCATGAAAAATTTCGGAAGCCCAAGATCCTGCTTTTCCATTGATATCTTATGATATATATACAAATCCGATCGGAGGTCTTGCTCCTCAAAACCAACTCCTAATCCAAAAGGAAAAACTTCCAAAACCAACTCCTAATCCAAAAGGAAGACAAAACTTCTAAAACTTATAAATCCTAACTGTACAAATCCGGGATCTCCGGATCTCCTAGGACTCTCACGAGCCTTATCTTCGTCCAATATTCTCTAATAAATTAAGAAAAATCAAATGAGACTTTAAAATTATATCTATTAGAAAGAAATTAACCTCTAGCCAGAAATTTGCAAGTTAACTGATGGAACTCTAAAGGATGGGGATATTTGTTACAAAGTGAAAGTTGAAGGGTATTGTCACAAATAAACGTTTAAGGGGGTAATTGTTACTGGCCCCGTAATAGAGGGGGTCTTTGTAATTTACCTTTTTTATTTTAGTGTGTATATCTTGTTTACGTTGAGAGATTTATTTATATTGTTAGAGGTGCTATACCTAGATGGCATTAAGGCTAATCTATGCTATTGATTAATTATAGAAAAATGTCGCCAGTTGAATAACATAAATAAAAAATGAACACATATGTATGTAGATGTAAAATGTAATATTATGGCATTATTGGTAGTCGTACCTCTTTGGTTAACAATTTTAAATTTATATCTTTGGAAAATCTAATTCTCTTTTTCTTTTTTTTTAACACTCTTTTTCTCATTTCTGAATATTTTACTTTGGTAGACTTTCTGTAAGGGGCATGAGATTAAAAATCTATTCAGTAATTTTGCCTATACCTTGTGCTGAAATTTAATTAATTATAATGGAGGCAATGTTGATCAACTTACATATTTAAGCTGTTTAGGTGAGGTACCTGAATAGCTATTTATTCTCTAACATCTGTAAATCTAAGGGTAAATTGCTAAAACCTCTCCTAAAGTTTAGTAACTGTAATCACCTTCCCGGAACTTTCTGATACAGTTGCAAATAGACCCCCTCTGATAGAATCTTCTAAAGAAGGGCCCAAAATACCCATGTAGTTACTATTAAGGTTGGTTTCTAACAAAAAAAAAAACAATACAAACTTTATGAACAATAAAAACAAAGAGCATTTAAAGTTGCAATGTATGATTGATAGGATGGGAAAATTGGCAAAATAAATCAATTTAAGAAAATTTGGAAAATAAACATTTTTTTGTCAAAAGTAATTGTATGGGTACTTTAGGGTCTATTTGCAATTATGTCAAAAACTTCAGCGAAGGTGATTACAATTACCAAACTTTAGGAAAGGTCTTAGCAACAACCAGAAACTTCATGGAAGGTTTCAAAAATGTATTTATCATTTAATTTAGTCTATTTATAGTGTGTAAGAAGTAAATATCTTCCATATTAAGCTAACTTGATTTTCTTCATTTCCAAATCTAGGGATGAAACTTTGGGCAGGATGGTGTTGGGAATTTGTTAAAATTTGAATGAACACCCAGGCCGAGTCCGATGTGATATAAATTCTTCTAATAATTAAGCATCCTGATTTGCTCCCTTATCCATATCTCATGTATAAATTATAAACTTATAATATATTGTTTAATATGTATACATATTAAGGTGCAACAATTTCATCATTCATATGTTATCTAGTTTTGAATGCAAATTAATATCCGCCATATGAAACTTGTTTTAATATGCAGATTAATGTGTATACGAACTCTTGTTATCATCAGACCAGCCCTTATAGCTAGTTGAGATAAGGCTTATATATGTGAAGATGATAATGAATAGGTTCATATTAGGTATGTGTTTGGTTTAACTTTTATATATTAAATAAATTTTTGTATTTGATTTATCTTCAAAATTGAGAAAAATGTTTGATAAATCGTTTATTGACAACTATGCACTACATCAACAGAATAGTGAATAAACACTCAAGGGTTGGTGTGTACATAAATCAAGACCAACTTTTGTGAATACCTATGCATATGAATGGATATAATGGGATAAATACTGTTTTTATGATGACATGACATTGTTTATCAAATAAATGGAAGTCATACAAAACACTGCCTAGATAAACTGATTGTGCTTGGCACAAACTACTAAAAAGCATGTTTCTTATGTATTTCTTGCTGTATAAATTGAGCAGTCAAATTTATGTGAGTCCCTAATTTATTCATGTATATGCTAATCCTTCCAATATATCTTTCTCTTTCTGAAACACTTTCTCATATCAATACATTTAACCTTGAATGTATCTTTCTCTGCACTGTTTAAATTTTAAAGGTGTAATTAAGGCTACGTTTGGAAACGATGCAAATAAGTGTGAATATAAATATGTAGAGTGTAAAATGGTTCATATAAATTGCAAAGTTGGGTTAGTTTTGCACTGACAAATTTACTTTCTTACCAAACAGACTTTTAGCTGTAATAGAAGCAAATACGAATTTCAATTTCAATAAAGCATATGCTTGTTTTTTATCAAAAGCCCACTTGAATGCAAATTTACTTCTTTTTTATTGATGTACTTTTACATATTATTATCAATGTAAATATGCATTGGTCTGTCATTTGTTAATGCAAAAATGTAGTATTGCCAAATACAGGCAAAAGTGAACCAGAGTGCAAATTTACCTTGAAACGGGGTTTACACTCCATTTGCATCATTTCCAAACACAGCCTAAGACTTTTTATTTGAAGTCACAAGGCAAAATTTATTAATAAATGCTTAGAGTACAAAATAAATATAGCAAAAAAAGTGGAAAAGATACAAAATTAATTATAAATCAGACTAATTTTGCTGCAAAAAAAAGACAGTAACCATGAACACGGGGGAAGAATAGTTTGAGAAACCTCTGCAAAACCTTCAAAAGCCAAAACCTTTCAAAATCAATTGCACCAAATACATAAGAAAAACATTAAACATGATTTCTAAAAGGCAAATGTATGTGAGCAAACAAGACCAGTAAATGGATTTAAGGGTGCATTTGGCATTAAAGATTTCTCCTTTTTACTGTTATAAAGTCCCTATGAACACTGGGTTTTTAATTAGAAAAAAAAAGCCTTAAAATAAGAACTGCCAAATGCAGCCTAAGACATACATAACTTACAACAACCCACAATGCATCAGCTGGGACTGGGAAAAAAGTCATGAGCTTTCTTCAAGATTTTTGTCACCCACATGTTTTGCACTTTTATCCAAATAGTAATCTCTGGACCTCTGGGCTGTTCTTTGTCCGATACCCTCAAGGGCTGGACTATGATGCTGAAAAGAAAAGATACTGGAAAAACTTACAAGGAATTATTCAGCATATCACAAAAGTAGTAAACAATTAGGTGGGTTTTCATCAAAATTTACGAGGGTTGTGATTCAGTGATTAGTCTAAGCATTTGTTAGTATTGCCTTTCCGGCACCCCTCTCTATCTTCATTTTTTTTGCTACTTTTCAAAGGGAAGTTCAATTTAGGACAACTATAGAAATTTATTGGGAAAATTCCCGATCAGTACCTTGTACTTTGGCTTGAGTGATAATTTGGTCCCTGAATTTTAAAATGCAACAATTTAGTACTTGAACTTTCAAAATGTGACAATCCGGTATCCGAACTTTCAAAATGTGACAATTCAATACTTGTCGTTAATCAATACATTAATCAGTCGTTAAGAAACATTTGAAAAGTCAAAATGCCCTTTGAATGCCATCTAATTCTCTTTATTGAAAAAGTTGGTAATTGTTTAGAAGAATCTAAAATTTGAGATTGTTCATTTTATCGTCAATTTTTAGATGGTTGATAAAGAGAATTGGATGGCATTCTTAGGGCACTTTTGACTTTTCAAATGTCACTTAATGGCTAATTAACGATAGGTACTAGATTGTCACATTTTGAAAGTTTGGATACTGGATTGTCACATTATGAAAGTTCGGGTACTGAATTATCGTATTTTAAAGTTCAGGGACCAAATTGTCACTCGAACCAAAGTAGAGAGTACTGTTTCCCAAATTTTTTTCAGTTTACATGAACATGTGAATGTTAAATGTTTTCCACTTCTGCTCCCAAAATTTCTTTTTTATTCATATTTTTAAGTTAATGTTTTAACTTAATTTTGTTGGAGAGGACTCATGGTTTTATCCAATTAGAAACAATACTAGCACATCATATTTTATGCTACTTGCACTCAGACAATGGAGTTTTCAGAGAAAATAATGTGTACTAAGTGCATGATTTTCATGTTTCGAGACAAATGGAGCAAAGTTGTGATGTGCTTAGGGCATTGTTTGTTACCAGCACATCCAGTTGGGCAAAGGCTATGCGCGTCATTCCGCTGTTTTGAGAGTTCAATTTTGGCTGCAGCAATGACGTATTACATTTACATCTACCAGCCAAAATCCGCCACGTAGTCCATGTTCTGCTTCCTTTGTAATGGGAAATATAAGAATCCCATGCTAAAACCATATATTACTCTGAGACGAAGCACATACATCCCTCCATCCCGCCCCAAAATCCATTTTTCAATCCATTTTCAAGCAAAAAAATGTCCTATCAGAGTGGATACTTATCGGTTAGGTAAAAATTGTCATCCTTATTCAAGATTTTAAATATAGACACAGGCCTATATGCCCTATCGGCATATCGGTCTGTGCCGGTGTTTTTTTTTATGTTTTACTTATTTTTTTTGAAATCGGTTTAGAAGAGATAATTTAAGGCCTGGTTACCCTCTAAATCAGTGGCTGACCTGATACAACCCTTGTAGGGGTGTATCAGGAAGCCATCGACACGATACATATCGATCGATATGGGCCAATACTTTGAACCTTGTCCTTACTTCTACCTCTATTTTCTTAAGAGAGTTCATTTTTTCTATAGCACAAAGCTATTTAAAACTGTGAATCATGGTCTTGGATGTATCATTATGGTCCCACCACGATATCACTTCATCTAATTCAAGTGGGCCATGAAAATAAATCAAGGCTTTGATTAGGATGGATATATGGAGACCTTTCTAGCTAAATGATCTCAAGTAGGGGTGCAAA